CGCCATTCCGAAATCGCAGGAGGGTCGGTGTAATGCACTACCAAAACGCCCGTAACTGAGAAACAAATGCTAATTCGATGATGCCGGCTGGCACACTGATTCACTATGAATGTAGGCCGCACCCCCTAGCGGCAGAAGCTCGTACTACATCCGGTTGGCCCTCTATTGACACAGTCTTGAAACTTTCCGATCGCACCTCGTACAACAGAGAGAGAAACTGAAAAACAAGGTTTATTGAATGTACCGTATTTATGTGTGTACACAGATAATTGGCAGGTGCAGAAAACACCACAAATGGGCAGATAAAAGGAAACTACAAATGCCCGAAATTATGGGTTCAGTTACAAGATCACACCAGTTCTGGTTTCGGACTCTGAAAATTTTAAGCACTTTATTTTGTGAAAAGAGCTTCAACATGCAAGTGTCTACACACATTCCTCTTCACAAAATGAAAGTAATAAAATGGCAAACAGACCTTATCCCTTCCAACTGGTATATCCTGGTCATTGTACCCTAGCAGCCAATGCAAATCCCTCTTCTTAATGTCCTTCTTCAGCTGATCTCGGTATTTGTATATCTGTTCATTCTGTGCTTTTATTTTAGAATTGTCACTGCTGACTTTCATTTTCTTTGATGGGCTCGGTCCGTCATCAACTGCATCAGCTTTTTCTTTCCTTCAACAGTGCAAGACACACGTCTATAAACAAGTAGATCCTCTAACCTAACACTGCAAAATTGAAAGCTCCACATTCAAACACTGCAGTTAAAAACATAAATTACTACAAAAATAAATAAATCAGAATAAAATAAAATAAAAATACTACAGATCGTACTTTCAAATCATAGAAAAACCAAACTATGAAATCTACCATACCATTTTAACAACCTGAAACACCAAGTGTCACTTTAAATTCACCTTACTTCCTAGAGTGAATATCATTCAGAAGTAATGGGATGCCAGAGTACAGAAGAAAAACAAATTCATATATTTTGATATATTGGTGAGACTCCATTGTATTGCAAAGTGATAAAGAAGTATATGATCTGGAGCTTTCATGGTGACGAAGTACAATAAATTCTTCTTGGGCTACCAGTGGTTGAAATGTGTGTGCAGAGCAAGCACTTGATTCCACACACCAGCCCCTATTGGCTAGAGTGCAACCATAAGTAGGGGGCTCTGGTATATATTATATATATAACACAGACTGGATTTCCAACCACTTCAGTACCCTGAGGATGAGAATAAAGACAGCTCACAAAACGTTGGTTTTTTCACCTTTCAACCACCAGATGGCAACCCAAGAATTTATTATGATAAAGTCAAATTATAAACTCTCTTCCAAGGTTGAAATTCAAGACACTGATGTTCCACAACCTTTTTCACTTATTACAAAGACATGCAACAGCACACCACAAAATTTTGTCTCAAAAACAGGAGTGCAGAACTATACATGGCATAAATATGTATCTACATGTAACAACTCAATCATATAAAAACAAAACATAACACATGTTAAATAAAACTGAATTTTTATGTATGTATTATGAATCTTAATTAGAAAATATAAGATATTGCCTTTTTCTAACTATAACATTTGAATATACAATTTATTATAAAAATCCAATGCACACTTGAAACCTGTGGCGGCAGAGCGGTTGCAGAACACACAACAGTATCCAAAAAGAACCTACATACTGAGTTGTAAAGTTTGCATCAATTACAATGTTTAATTATGATACAATGTATTTATAAGTATGAATAAAGGCAGCTCATAAGGAACATTACACCAGTGAATATTGATGCACATAGGAAATTTACAGTAACCATTGTAAGAAGCCTCTTATAAATACCAAATTATACCAAATAGTTATTCAAAGTTGTCATAATTTAAATTGAACAATTAACAGTGGTTATGATTTTAGATTCAACCATGAATAGCAACAAACTATTTTAGGAAACATTAAATAGAAAACAGACACAGTGATACCAAACTTTACAATGTGATCAGCACTGATGCTTCTTATTTCGAATTCCCAGCCAACCTGTTAATGAAAACATACAGCGTGTATCAAAAGTAGCTTTACAACTTGAGGGCGAGATATTGGCGAACTGATAGGAGAAACATATAATTTCAGAACATAGAAATATAGTCAAACACTTCAAGTTTTATGTCCATCGGCTTTTTATGGTTCAACGTGACTTCCATTTGTCATGTGGCAGACGTCCCATCTGTAGTCAATATCTTGCCACACACAGTGTAGCAACTCTGGTGTCACTTTAGCAACTGCGGAGGTAATTCAAGTTCGGAGTTCAGCCACATTTGCTGGTAAGGGTGGCATGTACACTCGATCTTTAACAAATCCCCACAAGAAAAAATCTAAAGGTGTTAGATCCAGGGAACGAGGTGGCCTTGCTATCGGGGTGGCCCGACCAATCCACCAACCTGGGAAACGGTTGCTGAGGTCATCGCACACTTCTCCGAGGTAATGAGGGGGTGCACCGTCTTGCTAGAAGTGAATGCGTCCTTCCTGGTTATCTTCGTCAAGTTGAGGAATGAGAAACTGTTGGAGTATGTCCAGATACACAATGCCGGTAATGGTCTTCTCCATGAAAAAGAAGGGGCCGTACACTTTATCTTTGCTGAGGGCGCAAATACATTAACTTTTGGACTGTCACGAACATGTTCCAGGAAGGCACGTGGATTTTCACTACCCCAAATCCTGCAGTTGTGGGTGTTGACCTTACCAGTGACAAGGAACGTGCTTTCGTCCAGAAATCCTTTGTCGTCTTCAACCTGCCGCAACATTTATATACTATAGCTTATGTGCATGATACTTGATGTGTCTGACTAAATTTGTGCATTTAAAAATATTGCGCATGTCCTTAATAAATTTATATTCTCCTGCAAAGTTGTAAAGCTACTTTTGAAACACGGTGTATAATATGGAGCTGACAAACACTATTAAACAGAGAAACAACTGAAACAAATGCTCTTAGATATATGGAAATGTGGTATCCACTAACTGTATTGTCTCCCTACCTACCAGCCTCCACACATGGTATATAGACCAGGTACATGGGGTGTAAACCCCCTCTGTTCAGAGTAGGACACAATTTAATTGGCTGCCATCACTGAAGGGTTAATCAGTATTATATTCTATTTGCGATACGCCACTTACTTTTCAACTTTAGGCAATTTGTTTTTCACCAATTGCTGATCTTTTTCCTTTAAGCTCTCGATACCAGGAAGACAATCCCCAGATTCCCAAAATTCCAGTTCATCACGCAGTTTTGCAAAGCATTCGACATGGTGCCACCGCTCCTGACCACCATACATTTTTGCATTCTCACTTTCAAAGTCCTTCTTTGAAATTCTTACTTCATCCTAAAGAAAATAGCAGATTGATGAAAGGCTTTTTCATAACTTCTGTCCTATAAAAATGGAATCTTCACAAAGTCTTCTTCCCACACCATTTTCATAAATACAACAAGACACCAAATTCACATTAACGGAAATAAAATGAGGAAAGACATTCATTTTAAAACAACAACAAACCATGCATATTATGCACATACTAAACTTTTAAGGTATCTACTTTTGTCCCAAAAAACTAAATCAAAAATAAATAAAACTTTAATGACACCTATTCTATGTATTGAATCTCAAACTTGGACAATGGCTTCAGAAGAAATGAAGGCCCTTAGAATGTTTGAAAGGAAGATTATTAGAAGAATTTACAGTACCATAAATGAAGGAGAAAGCTGGAAAATAACTAATAAGGAGAGAGGATATGTTAGAAGGGGAAGATATTGTAAAATTTATAAAATCTCTTACATTGAGATGGTGCAGACATATTGAAAGGATGAATAATAACAGAGGGCTCACAAACATAATGACAACTAAAATGCACAGAACAAACAAACAAAAAAAAGGGGGGGGGAAAAAAAGAAAAAAGGGGCAGACAATGTAAAAGATGGATAGATGAAGCTGAAGAGAGCTGGAAGATTATGGGAACACGAAATTGGCATACAGTGGCTAAGGATTGTCACGAATGGAGGAAAAATGTACTGGAAGCCAAGGTCCACAACAGACTATAGTGCCTGAGAAGAAAAAGTAATTTTTAATTTCAACATATTTAATTCCGCTAAAAACCAACGCGACATGAACATTTATATGTTTACTATAGCCCATGTGTCTCAGTACCAAATCAGGAAACAGTGACAAAGTTGCATGCATTCCTAATCAGCTTCACAGTGAGGTCAGAATAACCAGCACCCAGCTGTGCCGAACATGGTGTATCTGCTAGAACCAAGATTCAGTCATCAAAACATTATTCAGCTGCATATAATAAATAACATAATACTTTTTCACCGTTACAAACTCTCTCTCACACACACATCATATGCAAAGACCAAAAACGTATGACAACATAATAATATTTATAACAAGTTGAGACAAATAGTTGATTTTGACATCCCACCTTCATTATCTTCTCTTCACAGCCTCTGCATGTGGATCTGCTTGACTTCGCACACTCAACAGTGAAATCCTTCAGTGCAACATTATTTTCTGTAGCTGCACCTCGTTTTTTGCCCTTAGACTTAGGTTTATCCTTTCCACCAGCATCTCCAGCTGCTGCTGCCGCTCCTCCATCTAAGGAGGCAGTTTATAACATGAATGTTAAATTTAAATATAAAAGGCACACACAATAAAGGATAAATTAAACTGTTGTACATTTTTCAACTTCTTCATACTTTGAGATTTACCTTCCCCATGTGAGATTTAAGTGCCATATGTTAAAAAAGTAAAACACATGACAGTAAAACGTTTCAAAGCTTTAAGACATATGTTATGTCCACAAGACACTGAATAGTGTAGACCCACGTCATTTGCAGATTTGCATTGAGATTTACCTTCCCCATGTGAGATTAAAGTGTCATATGTTAAAAAATAAAACTCAAGACAGTAAAACGTTTCAAAGATTTAAGACATGTTATGTCCACAAGACACTGAATAGTGTAGACCCAAGTCATTTGCTGGTTTGCTCATAAAATTTTTCTCATTATTGTGGAAATATTTGTGCACTGTGGTGTAGGTCCTCAACTCTCCGGTTATTCTTGTGCAGGCACACGAAGTAATATACAACAGCCTGCCTGTGCCAGAGGCTATGTACACATCATGCCACAGCGAGTGTACTTCGACTACTTTTCACAATTTTTTATAACTGTATGATGCTGCTGTGCTAATAATTAATAAACATCAAAATATTAGTGTTGGTGTTTATCAGGAAGCAATCAGTGTAGTTGTCAGCATGATCAAACACAACAGCAACAAATATGACACTTAATATGTATAATTATTATACATTTTAAGTATCATATTTTGTGTCTTTGGTACAACTTTTGTGGACTCAATCAGTTCTTTAAAGAAAACTGATCTCTGTATAACTGCTTCAATTAAATTAACAGAAATTATGTTGGTCTTTTGGGTTGTAATGCAATGAGGACTTTTAGGTAGATACCAACCTTTCATAGGAACATGCCACCTCCATCATCAGCCCACATGGCATTTCAACCAAACACTGATATCTTCTCTGCTGGGAGAAACTCAAATCTCATACAACAGAAACTTGACAATTTGGATTTCCCAGTTCACAATAAACTCAAATGCATCCTCAAATAACTTCAGTCTACTTATCTACTGAAAATAACAGAAACTCAATTTCCATCTCTGAATAAACACCTATCTACTTTAAAGCAACTTATATAGTTGATACAGCAATAATCTCCTACCTACCTATTTTTGCTTTTATCTTCTCCTGATCCTCCCATCTTAGGGACTCAAAATGAGAAATATCACCTACTGATTTTGGCCGCTGACGTCCAAAGAAGCACATATAGTGGTACCAGAACGGTGTTTTTCCATCAAACATCGGTAACTATAAAAGAATTTATTAAAAAAAGAATGCCTTATATCAAATAAATCATTAATTGTTATTTATGTATGATGGTTATGAGTATCAGCAGCCATCAGTAATACCCACATAACTCACAAAACATTCTATTACATTTAATACAAACATTCAAACACACAGTGAATATACCTGACAAACATGTCAGTTAAGTATAACCCAATACTTGCAATTACGCTCTGAAGACTGTCAATTTAATGTACATACATGTACATGTGCGCCATGATCCCTATTTCAAATAAAACTTAACAGAGGAGATATCGTACCAACACGTATGTATACACTTCTTCAAAATATAAGTCTGACTAGCTCATAAATACATGATTATATCCCCTCCCTCTAGAAGTGTATAAAATTGGGCTTCAGTTTTCCTTTGAGTTCTACAGAGCCCTCAGTCCTTTAACAACATATGCCTCTTTGTACAACATAATTATGTAAGCAAGAAAATCCATCATACAGCATGATGAATGTTATTCCATCTGTGTAATCATGCCAATTGGCCAGACACATTCAATAACTGACATCATCAGAACAACATATGCATTTATCTTTATTACATTCCATGGATGCACGAGTTAGTCAGATGACATTAAGAAGTGAAATAAGTCATAATAATATAACACATAAAAAATAAGTACAATCCATAATATTATAAAGCTTTTGATTCTACATGAATTCCAAATCCTGTTATTTACAGTGATGGGAAATATGTATTTTATTTAAACATTTATTTTCCTTAACTACTATTTGTACGTTATATGTTTATGGACCAATTATAAGACACCTCTAAGTAAAGTCTTAAATGTGGCGGAAGCCAGTTATATTGTAAATTCCTACCTGAACCATAACGGCCAAACGCAGTGAATTATTTTCAATAGAAGATTTGCATCCTTTACATGTTGCACGGCCGCTTTTGGCGTATTCTGCTATATATGGCAAGTCGTCTGACATTATTCACTGATATTTTAAAAATGTAGCACAAAACGGCGCATAAGAAATTACAGACATACACTCTTACTAAACCTACACATGTAGAGCAGCTATAATACCAACCAAACGACCTTAGCATTGGCAGCTCCACAGAATAACAGCCAATCTGTGTTACCAACGAAACAGGAGTTAAAACGAGAAGCTGAGAATAGGGAAAACTGGCGAGCTCTTTTTGGGCAGAACAATGGACCTGTCGTCAGACAGAACACTAAATAATAATAATATTTAAAACTCCAGACCCTGCGTAAGAGAAGGCATTGTAGTGATGCACTGTTCCTTGCGCAGGTTTGCCGCGGCTTTAAATGCTGTCCTTCCCTTCTGGAAGCTGTCGGTGTCCGCATCCCTGCCCGGAATGTGAGAGATTTTTCTATGTTCAGTTTTAGCCCTTTGATCAAAAACAGTCCTTCTGCTAGATGCGCATCAGCTGCTAATGTTGTCTGCAGGGACTTGGACATATTCGAGACGAAAATTGTCACACTTCTTCACATTCTATAATAGTATAATTTACTTAATTGATTTAAATTATTTTTACAAATATGCTAATATATTTAGTTGCAATTTTCTTGTGTATTAACGTCCTCCGTACTAATGTATTTTATAATCTGCTTATTTTACCGTTTATGTTTTTATTGTTTCGTGTGCTCATCTCTGCGCTGTATCTGTAATTGGCCTTCTGGCTGTTGATACAGCACACTAATAATAAAGAATTGAATTATTATTATTATCATCCCATCTATTCACCCTTTATGGGGTATGTACTTCCATGTACCCGAGACAGACCTTGTCCCTAAGGTACATAGGGCAGCAGCTATTTCCGGGATCCATATTGTTTTTAGCAAGTGCCACATGTATTATTTAATTTTATTTTATGAAATTATTATTATTATTATTATTAATATTATTAACCTAGCTATTCCCTTTGTTAAATCCAAAAATTCTACCTATCCTCATTGGTTTACAAAACTCTTGTCTAGTACATTAGAAAGAAGAATGCATCTCTTAAGAATTTTTAAAAATCTAAGTCTGATTATCATTATAGCGTTTTTTTTCATACTATCGAAAACTTGTTAAAATGACTATTAAATCAGATAGATTAGTTCGGCTAAAAACAATTGAAGAAAATTTGAAAACCCAACCAAAGCACTTATGGAAATATATTTCTAAATTTAAAAAGAAAGACCAGTCTATTACACAATTTAAAGTTGGAGAGAGTTTTATCACGGAACCGCAGGCAATCGCAGAGGCCTTTGCAGACCGCTTTCGTTCTGCGTTTAACTCCTCTTCTTGCGTTAATGTTACGACTAGTTCCGATTTCGCCTATTCTGATGTTTTGAGTATTCCACGTATCTCTGTTGATTATATTACACGGGCAATTAGTCGTCTCCGATCTACGAAATGCGTCAGACCCGTTGAAATCCCGACTTTCATTATAAAAGGCTGTACTGAGATTTTAACTCCTATTTTACGCCATATTTTCAACCTTAGTTTATCTAGTGGGAATTTTCCTTTGTTATGGAAGCTAGCGGCTGTTGTGCCTATTTTTAAGAAAGGCAATGGTGTTTTAGTTTCTAACTATCGGCCTATTTCGATTTTAAACAATTTTTCCAAAATTTTTGAAAGCATTGTTCACTATCATCTTTCATTTTATTTTAAATTTAAGTTACATCCCAGTCAGCATGGCTTTTGTAAATCTAAATCTACGGTAACTAATTTAGTTACCTACCTTAATGATGTTCAGCCGTCTGTTTGTTCACAGGGACAGATTGACTCTGTGTACTTTGATCTTAAGCAGGCCTTTGATTCAGTCCCGCATTCTTTTCTTTTGAAAAAGCTTAATAACTTCGGACTATCTTCTCCTTATGCCAAGTGGTTTCAAAGTTATTTATCAACTTTGTTCGCATTTTAGGACAGTCTTATTCTGCTTACTCGGTGTTATCTGGAGTTCCACAAGGCTCTACCTTGGGACCTCTGTTATTTAATATTATTATTAACGATCTTTGCGACAAAATTAAGTATTCTAAATTTCTCTTATTTGCTGATGACTTGAAACTATATCCTGATATTAAATCTGTGGATGAATGCAAATCTCTTCAAGCAGATATTGATTCCTTACGTCAGTGGTGTGATGATAACAATATGGAACTTAACACAGAGAAATCCAAAATTATATCGTTCACACGTAAAACCAACAGTATTCATCTTAATTACATTCTTAGTGACTTTTTAATCTTGCGTACTATCTATTCTACTATAAAAATTTGTGATTTGTCGTCGTCGTCATACAATTTGTAGCAAAACAATCACGTCATCAAACAAATAACGCTTCACAACGAGATCATCAAACATTCGGCGGGGGGTGGTTTGTTGCGTTTTAAAAACTTGACCAATACTCCCAAAGGGGGGTTGATTGCGTTTTAAAAACTTGACCGACCCCCCCCGAAGGGGTGTTGGTCAAGTGTTTTAACCTCCTTCCTTTAATTGTATGCCGAGTAAACAGATGACTTTTCCTAGGTAACAACAATGCCGAGTAAACAGAAACGCAACAGCGTTTTAAACACTTGACCACAGTTGGCCTTTTCTCATAGCTGGATATGTAACTAAAATAGATGAGATCTTATAGCTATAGTTGTTCATCCTGTTTTGGTACTGTATATGAATGGCCAGTCATAGGAACACCCTATGAAGGACCTTGTCTTTTTCTGGGCCCAGATAGGGTTCTCTCTCCTTTCCTTGATCAATTGCTCTGATCGACTCTCTTGAACATGTTTGATAACCTTTCTTCTTTAGCGTACCTACATCCTGGCTGCATTATGTTCTGCCCTGAAGATGGACTTTGCAGGTTCCTATGAAATACTGCTAACCACCTGCATGACTCTTGGGTCATATAACCCACAATCTAAATTTTCACCATTATTCATATCTCGTAAATTATGACGATAAATATTGTTTTCAGCCCCGTGAAAGGATAGCAGTGGAAACAGTGGACAGCGTCAAGAAATCGAAAAGTGAAAGTAAGTTCTATCTTAAGTAATTAATTCAGTTTATTTTAAAGAATGTCCTAACAAGGAATGGGTATGCAGATGACTCACGGCTGTTCTTTACAGGACTTTCAGTGCTGGGTGATGGCATTATTGTCTCACCATTTGACTTCACAAATGTCATATTGATATTACTGGAAATTAAGATGTATGACTCTCGATTAGCCTCCAGTCTGTAGACTAAACACCTGCTTTATGTGTTTTATGTATAAGTTAAAAATAATTAAAGGACTTACATCCTGTATAAAATAGGTGAGAAATTTATATTATCTTCATTCACCATTATTCATATCTCGTAAATTATGTCATTTTGGTGCTTCAGGGATGCAATTTGGGCCTGAGACTGGCTGAATCTGGTGAAGATTTCCTCAACACTTTTTTTTTACTAAAATTGAAACTTTATGAATGTATAATATTCTATGTTTACAACAAACAGGCTCAGGGAGCATGCTTTTATTGCAGTGTTCTATGTTGGCCAAAATTCTTGCTTGGAGTCTGCGCATTTACCAGGGAAATCAAGTCTTTTGTCTTGCTGTGATGGTTTATGAGACTGTTGCTGGAGATATTAACTAGAAACATCTGTGGTGTGGACATAAGCATACTAGGCAGACCATGAAATCATGAGTTTAATAGAATGATGGTGTTTGTTGCTGACATTCATCGTGATGAAAGTCTTCAATGAGATGTTAATTCAAAGATGGGTCATAGTGCCATGTAGTCTGGTAGAAGTTTACCATTGTTTCATACATACAGGCTGCATCCATCATCAAGATGATCTCTCATTGCCCTTTGATGGAGATGGCAAGGACCTCTGAAATGTTGGTAAACATCTGCCAGAATACATGGCAGTACAGCAGCCCAGAAGACGGCCATCTTCGTACTTGCTGACATAAGAACCTCATATCCTACAGGATGTTTAGTCACAGGCCAGTCAAGAGAAGATTGATTTGATCTTTTAGTGTACTTCACACTCTGGCATGAGCAAAGAATGTTTTATGGGCCGATCCTTGTTTCTCTGTTGGTCTGTTACATTTTTTCTAGGAACTATGCAATTCCCATGACTCAAGGTCATTGTTGGAACATGTAACTGTGAACAGTTTGAACTGGGGTCATTAGTGGCTTACATTCTTGCTATAGTGATGCTGACTCACAGGAGTTCTACTGCCTGCAAGCAGTGTGTAATCAGTTGCAGTTAGAACATAAGAATTCATTCTTCAGTAGTGAGGAATAAGAAATTTCATGTTGTTCTGCAGTATAAAGCCTGGATATCCAAAAAATCATAAAATTCGTAAAAGTATTACATATAAAATAAGGAAACAAGTTTGACTTTACCTCTTGTAAAATGTTGCTTATCAATAACAACCATATACATTTGATCATCATTTCTAAACACAAAATGAGTAATTTTTATTCAGTAAAATGTTCTAAATGTGGAGAATGTGGGCTTTGACTGTTTTGAATTGTTAATTTTAGCTTACAGTTTCTCTTATTGCAATGCGTTGTTTGTTTAGGCGTGTTCACAAAGAGTATGCCATCTAAGGTGAAGCTGAAATTGAAGCGAGGCATTGTCGTATCCCTGGCAGGGAACTGTTGGGCCCTTGATTCCCCCCGGCAGGATACGAACTGTAGATCTGCAGAGGGGATGCAATCTTATCTAGTGGCCTTGGAGCTATTGAGTAAGGCAGCGTTTAAGGGTGAAAGCCCAAGAACAATCTTCAATTGACTATATAAAGATTTCTTTATTAAATGAAGATGGTTATACAGCAATAGTAGTTGTGCTAAGACGCCTGGATCCTTGACTGCCAGAACCAAATCGCGAAGACCGGTGACAGCATGACTGCCTCCGATAGGTTGTGAAAGCGTTGTCCCACTGATACTGGTTTTTCAAGTGCATATAAAGGCCTTGGCAAATGGACCTCCCATGAATTAATCACTAAAGAGTTCCCAGTTTCGTCTTTTGCCACCTGAAGGATCCACTGTCTTCACACTGACAAATCCATTACAGTCCAGCGCGAACAGACATACAGCAGAAGACGCGATGCTTTTAGGGATGGTCTGGTTATGCAGCAGTACCAGCCATAAGGGTCCCACAGTGGAGGGTAGCATTGACATACATTGCCCAAGATACCCATTGAAACAATCTCCGAAGTGATCCTCGATAAGTGGTCCGCAGTTTGGATTCGACAGCATTGTAGTTGACCCTTACTCTGGCCTGGATAACTCTTCTGTCACTGCCTCATGAGGAGTGCAGTAGCTCAAACCTCAGTCCTCAGTTAGTGGCTTTATCTCTGACCTGGTGCTTGACTGGTCTTGGAGTAAAGTAGTTAAATTTTTCCACATTGTGTGCAAGTGACATTAGATAGAATTATAACTGCATGGAACTATTTTATTTTACAATACCCATCACAGGCAACATGGGTCAGATGCGTTAAGGAATACTAATGGTCAGACTTAATGAACCTAACTTTGAAGTTATTCACGTTGGTGTCTTTCTTGTGGTTGCTATTGAAATGCTTATTGTGTTGCGTGTATTGGTTATTCCAGTCGTGGGGCCGCATAGGCACCACAATTGGAGGAATGAAGTTAGCAGAAGTAACTTCATTGAAACAAGCACTGAAAATCTTTGAGTGCATTTACAAAGAAAGGACAGGAAATGAATGGGCTAGTAGAAACCATTTCGAGAAAGTTGCCGACAGTTTCTACCCTGTTGACTTAGACTACTCTCAGGTAAGATTTAATTGTTATGAGATTGCTGCAATCTTGATTCTGATATGAATAATACTAGCCCTTAAAATTAATAAACACACTGCTAAAAGTCATTCCCTTACAAATAACATATAAATTATAATGGACCAGTGATGAGCACTCATGCTTCATATTGAGGAATTCCTGGGCTCAAATCTCAGCCCAGAGACCAGCTGAGGTGTTTTGTGGTTTTCTTCAGTCCCTCCAGGGAACTGCCAGGCTAGAGGCATAGTTCTGCCAACATTCTGCTCATTATTCACTGCACTGAAATGATATGCCAAGCTGTAGAGTGGAATGAAGGATGCATTCACTTAGATTACAAAAAACAGCTTACTTACTGATTGCTATGTAGCTTCTGTTTATTGTACTGATTAACTAAAATTTCTGTATTCTGAACAGTTTATTACATCAGTGTGATGTGATATCCTTCAAATAGGCAAGTCCAGCAATGCCAACTACATTCATTAATCAAATGATCTGTCTAATGAAGACATGCTGCATTTTCTCCGTGGTACAAACAGAATTTTTAAATAGTATTAGGACAAAGTGAAGCGTGCAACTTTCAGTAAGTTTACAGTGTGGAAAAATATTTATCACTATCTTCTGTTACTAACCCTTACTTTATGATTCTAGACAAGCCACATAGTGGAAAGGTCTTAGGAAGAAGATAATCTACATCTTTATCACTTCCAAAGCCTGCTTTATTAACAGGATTTCCAACACTCTGAAAACATTGGTATCATACTTACATATTTCCTAAAGCAACTTCACACAGGAGAAGCAACCCAACTGAATTGTTTGGAGAAGTGCAGCAGTAGTTGGCAGACTTGGACACCATGTCTGCAAAGTAGATCCCCTTACCAAACATATAACCTGTAACTGGTGCTTCTGGTGGAGCAATTCGCAAACCCTGAAACAAATGTACAATGTGTTCTACTCCTTACAAAGTCGAATGCTGCAGAACCGAAGAACCAACCATCGGCTGGGTGTGACTAGACAATCCTGATACAAACCGAGAATGTCCAAGGCTGAGTGGTATCACTAAATACCACTAAAATGATTCGTACTTTCTTGCTTGGCTTAAATTCAGAATCAATAAAACTGCAATAGAGATTAACAGTGCATCAACACACTAAGTACCAGCAGATTCTTAATTTAAATTCCCAGTTTCCAGACATTTAATGTGACTTCTTGAAATGCTCTGCTCACTAGGAACATGTTTAGCTCTTCTATTTACTTTTGTAACATGCCCTCAGAACTGCAGAAAAGTATCCATGATACATATTAATGTTTCTAAGAGCAATATTTCTTAAAACACAAAGCCCTGTGAAATGCCACTGAAGACAACTCGGAAATGCACCCTTGCCTCCAGCAACAACGGAATTCCCAACGTGGAAGCATGAAATCACAGGACATTCCAGTGCACTAAGCAAAATAGCGAACAGCAATGTCCTATCAAACATATGATGCTGTTTTGAGGCAGAAAATCCTGGCTGGAGGGACTGTCAAATTGCCATGTAAAACCTTTCAAATGCTATAACTCTTCCAATACACAACAGGAATGGGAACTGTGCCACTTATTATTATTTAAAAACCAGTAATGTTTGTAAAAACAATTAATCTAAAGCTATCAATTCCTTTTTACTGCCCTTCACAGTAACAAAATTTCACTGTAATGTATACAATCTGTCAGTTCATATAACTTTGTTTTCCAACATTTTACTGTATGTGATGTTACAAAATTTACGAAGCCAAAGATTTCTGCTCGATATAACAAAGTTCTTGTTATAGGCTGTACTCATTCTACCATGGTTACACTGTGGTCTGTTACTGCAAATGAATGTTAAGATACCTGAAACGTTAACACTTCTTCAAATATTATTCACATGGTTATAAAATTTGAACACTCATACCTGAGACAAAATGCCTGCAAAGTTAGTTAGACGAGATCCATGCCACAGCAGCTTCCGGTTGTGTAACTTTTTGAAAGGTTTGTACCTTTTTTCTTCTCCACTGCGCTTAAGCTTGAACACCTGGAAAAAAAAATGTCTATACAATGAAATACCAATACTCCAGCAAAATACAGCACTTCACAGAACACTTGTTTTTATTTCTCATTTCACAAGTAATAAATATCGTTAAGGTACAAAAGTACCACAAGTCTAATGTTCAATTAAGGCAAGAAAATTTACGTGTTAAGGTCGTGTGAAAAATGTGAAAAGTAGGCATTGTGACTGTTGAAGTATTCAGTTCTCATGACCATAGATGGAATACAACTATTTTCATAAAATAAGACAGACTAGTCATTCAACATACCTCCAAAATCTCCAGGTCATAATGAGTGTGTGTTGTTGCGTGAGTGTTCTTAACATACTGTTTCAGCAGCTCAAACTCATCAGTGTTTTTGTCCAGTACCTAGATGTCGGTATTGAGCTTAGCATAATGAGCACCCAGAGGGTGCACATTACCATCAGCATCACCTTTCTGCAACTTGTATGCACTCTCTACTTCCATGAGGCTGTCCAACATCTCTGTCTTTTGCTGCAACATCATAAGTAACATTACTTTACCGCTACAAATCAGGTGTATGTATATGAAGCTTTAGGAGTCAGGATAGCTCAGTCACTATAGTGACTGGCTACGGGCTGGATGACCGGGGTTCGATCCCCAACAGGAGCAGAGGATTTTTCCTCTAGCCTCTGCGTCCAGACTGGCTCTGGGACCCTCCCAGCCTCCTGTCCAATGGGTACCGGGGTCCTTTCCTGGGGGTAAAGCACGGCCGAGGGCGTGATGCTGACCACTCACCCCCATCTGGTGCCGAGGTCAAGAAAGAGTAGGAGCTATACCTCCACTCCCCCCAAATAACCTACATGGCGTGTAGCGGGACAGCTTTACTTTTTTATATATGAAGCTTTAACAGTGTTGAAATAATTGCAACTGTTTAAACTCCATATTCACATCCAACATGAACACGTGCAGAGAATGAAGATATTTACTTTAGAAAAACTATACTGGAGTTCTGAAGTTATACTGTAATAACAGTAACTTCTGCACAATGTAAACACATTATTAACACTTCTGTTAATCTCATCCCATCTCCGAAACGTCGTTTTTACGTTTTATATTTACTAGACGATGGATAATATCAAAGGAAATTTTTATTCAATTGACTCCTCACCATCGTCAAGAAGTTTTAGATTTGAAACACTTCTGTAGTTCTTTACAGGGTTAAATAAGTAATAACTATATATATATAAAAAAACTGCTCTTATATTTATGATTATGCAGTATTCTAACAGGTGAGAAATATATTGGGTAATTTTTCTGGGAGTCAGAAAGCAGTCAAAAATTTTAAGACTGAAATTAATGGGAATTTCATTAATGATTTACCTTATAAACACTTTTCATTTAATGAACTGTAATAAATTGAGAGATGTGTGTGTGACTGTCAAGTGTCAGTGTATTCCTCTAGATTTTGGTGCTAGATGAAGGCGAGGAATCTGGTTCCTACTCAAATCATATTATTCCCTGCATATCAACTAGACACCTGGCTGGCTGAGCCTCAGAGCCAGTCTACACCCAGTGGCAAAGAGACCTGCTCTTGAGAGGAATCAAATACCAGGAGGCTGGGCCGGGCCATCCCAAGTCCACTGTATGGACTGGATTATCCTACTACTTCAACTAAAACCTATCTATGGAGAACTTATAAAACAAATTTTTTACAAGATCGACATAAAGAGAAAGAAAAGCTGTCACAATTAAATAACCTTAATCATTTCCTCAGACTTTAGTACTGGTGGATTTTCTACACCAAAATCATGTGGGATGAGAGTGTAAAATCGGTTTGAGGCATCAATGAAACGGCTATCAGATCCACCATTCTTGATTAATTCTTGCATGTCTGTCAAGACACTATATGCTTGCTGGATCTGCTTCTTGCTTAATTTCCCCAGAGGCATCTTCTGTAAGTCCAACTGCAATCACAACAAGCAATTCATATTCATTTAAACACAACATATATAGGTACGTACAGTAGCAATGTGTCCAAAGATACATAAAGTATTGTTATGTGTCATGTACATAAGTGATTCCCAAACTGTGTCCAAGAGCCAAGGGGCTCTACAAAGGTTCCCACAACTCTAGAAACCTTCTATAATCATGAATTCTAGTTACGCAAAATTCTTAAGTGATACCATCTTAAAACTTTGCACACCGAATAGTGCATTGGCATATAAAAATAAGCAAACAAAGAAACTGTTAACAATATAAATGATACTAGTGCCAAATGCCTTTCAACCTCAAGAGGTCATCATCAGTGGCAAAAAGGGAATTAAATCATATAATCTCAAAAATGGTTTTAACCAGATTATGAAGTTAATAGTGAGTTCTTTAATAAACCATAATAAGTAACACCTCACTGGATATTGGTTTCACAGGAGTTGGTGTATTATATTCTACATTTAGCTATTAGTCCACTGGTTTGGTGGCCGTTGCTGGTTGGTGGCAAGCTGTGGTTACATTGTCTGTTCCTGTGAACTCCAACGAAGCGTGGGTGTTACTGTCAGTTTTTGAATGTGTAGGGTATATATAAGCTCAAATTCAGGATGGCAAACTACTGTATATGAAATTTACTTTTTCCTGTTTAATGCTAGATCAAATAATACATCTTAATCATGAGTTTATATTTTGTCTCTACCAATGTGACAAAAGAGTAGGTGTTTTAAGCCCAAAACGGCTCCACAGCAGAACAGCTGAAAAACACTGACTTAAATACATTATTAAAAAACTCTTGAAGATTTGACACAAAGTCTGTCTCCCACTAACCTCAAATTCCAGCACAACATGTTCCATCAAATTCACATCAAATACCAGTTGTACCAACTCTTGCATAGGTGGCAAAAGTTTACATGTGATACTGGAACTTCCTGCCTGCAGTAAGGTTTCATCATCTTCCTGCACAGAGTTAATTTTAATTAATGCATAATAAATTACATGAAGCTTATCTGTTTTGCACTCTTAATTCACTGACAAACACACACACACATCTTTATTACATTCCATGGATACAGAAGTTACTCAGATAACAACAGTATTTGGAACAAGTTGTTACACAGTAGGTAAGTTATACTACCGATTTACATTACATGAAGACCAGGAAAGCTTAGTGAACATTATAAATTCATCAGCAAAATAAAAGGAGTGCATAATTAAGTATCTCTTTAATTCTACTTCAAACTGTGTCTTTTTATTTACAAGACTCTCGGGACTTGAAGGAAAACTGTCTAAAATTTCGATTCCCACATAAAGAGCACTCTTCTGAAAACATAAGAGGTTGGCAACTGGCCTGTGAAGCTGATTCTTATTCATTGTGTTGACACTGTGAACAGCAGAATTAATTTGAAAATATTCTTGGTTATTTAGAATAAAATTCACTAATGAGAAAATGTATTTACACGGAACAGCTAACTAACTAGACGGCTTAGAAAACCCAAAGGTTCATCACCGAACTAAAGAAAGCGTGCACTGGTCCCTGTCCTGGGACAGCAAAATCCAGTCACTTTCAACTCCTATCTCCCATACATCTCGCTTGATATTATCCTCCCATCTATATCTAGGTCTCCCTAGCGGTCTCTTCCCTTCAGAATTACTGACCACTACCCGATGCACACCTCTTGTCCCATCCATGCTCGCCACATTTCCCACTCATTTCATTCTTCTTGATTTAATCATCCTAACAATATTGGGAGAGGAGAACACATTTTTAAGCTCATCATTATGCAGTTTTGCATTATGTATGGAAGGTCTAGGATCTCTAATATCTTGAAAAGATGTCTACATGGATTTCTATGTTGATATCAGCCATTAATCTGTCAATTTTATTTTGTAAAGTAAATATTATTTTTTGCTGTTAGATGAATTACTCCCCATAATTATTCCAGACTTCATTACAAAGTAACAATAAGCAAAATAAACTGATCTGAGTGTGACAGTGCTGCTAATATGTCACATAGGACTAACATGCGCCACATAACTTAGATTTAAATTCATCAACATGACTTGTCCAATTTAGGTGGTTATCAATCTTCAAACCCAGTAATTTGTATTTATATACATTTATATTTGTATGCATTGCGCCCTACTAGTGGCTGAAAAGATTAAAACATTCCCAGAAGCCGGGAGGTGGTACGGTCGCAGGATAAGAATAGCGGTTAAGCCAAAAAACCAAATAAATGAATCCCCGATTAACCATAAAGTATATTTAATAAAGATTATATAAACATATAAATAAAGAGAACAAAGGGACACAATTTGGTCAAGCCTCCCAGGGCTCAGTCTCCAGTTGGGTATATGACTTAGGCATGTCAAACCAGACCCCCAAAACAGACCTGCCTTCAACCTTCCTCCTCGAGTCGTTCACTCCCGACGGACACACACACAGACTGACTGCTGTCTCATTAGGGCCTCAAAGCCAGCGACTACAAAGAACGTTGAGAGGGGAGATAGGCTACTTCGAGCCATGAGGCATGGCTAGGCATGCAAGAACTGCTTACAAGTGACAAACTTATTATGCTATGCTACCATGAATGAAAAAGAGAATGCCTTCAACTTGGCTATCATGTTCAAAATCATAAAAGGCTTATAAAATGACAAATGCTAGCAGAAGTGAAAATGGTAGACACTGTGATTTTAGTTTTTAATTTCTGCAACATGTTTTACTCCACTGTTTAATTTTGTGCCAAAGGTTTCGAGGGAATTAAGCTGCAACTGTGAACAAAACACAAGGATTTGCATATGACCTATATAAAACTTGAGACAATAAAAGTTACAGAGGATGAACTACCAATAATACTTAATTGAGAAGATGCCATGGATTAACTTAACACTGTTCAGAATACAGAAATTTTAGTTAATCAGTACAATAAACAGAAGCTACATAGCAATCAGTGAGTATGCTGTTTTTTGTAATCTAAGTGAATGCATCCTACATTCCACTCTACAGCTTGGCATATCATTTCAGTGCAGTGAATAATGAGCAGAATGTTGGCAGGACTATGCCTCTAGCCTGGCAATTCCCTGGCGGGACTGAAGAAAACCACAAAACACCTCAGTCAGGATAGCTGGTCTCTGGGCTGAGATTTGAGCCCAGGAACTCCTCAATATGAAGCATGAGTGCTCATCACTGGTCCATTATAATTTATATGTTATTTGTAGGGGAATGTCTTTTAGCAGAGTGTGTTTCTAAATTTTAAGGGTAGTATTATTCATATCAGAATCAAGATTGCAGCAATCTCATAACACTTAAATCTTACCTGAGTATAGTCTAAGTCGACAGGGTAGAAACGTCCAGGAACTTTCTGAAAATTGTTTCTATCGAACCACATGTTTCCCGTCTTTTCCTCGTACATGCTCTCAAAGATTTGAAGTGCATTTTTCAAGGTTTGAACTTCCTCTAACTTCTTGCCTCCGATTGTGGTGCCTATGCGGCCCCATGACCGGAATAACCAATACCTGCAACACAATAAGCATTTCAATAGCAACCGCAAGAAAGACACCAACGTGAATAACTTCAAAGTTAGGTTCATTAAGTCTGACCATTATTATCCCTTAACGCATCTGACCCATGGTGCCTGTGATGGGTATTGTAAAATAAAAAAGTTCCATACAGTTATAATTCTATCTAATGTCGCTTGCACACAATGTAGAAAAATTTAACTACTTTACTCCAAGTCCAGTCAAGCACCAGGTCAGAGATAAAGCCACTAACTGAGGACTGAGGTTAGGGCTACTGCACACCTCATGAGGCAGTGTCAGGAGAGTAGTACCTTTACAGACTGACATGGTCGTCATCACTCTATGCCGGAGTGGTTACGACCGCTGTCTTCAAGGTCGTATACTACCAACTGTGCAAGAACCACTCGGTAGTGAGCACGACCTCCGGTCCACGACTCCGTGTGAACCCCCCCTTTACATTGTAAGTAGTGATTATTTGGAAGTCTTAAATATTTTTAGATCATCTTCCGATTAAAGTAGTTATGAACTTAATCACGAGATTCTTCTCGTATTCCTGTAAAAATGGAAATATTTAGCATAAATGCAGACAGTATTTGAAGCACAACAAACTCTTGCTGCAAAAAACGGTTCAATGGCAATGCTAATATGTAGTCAACATGGCTGAGAGCTTAGAGTCAACAAATCGTATTCCTAGGTTTTTAATAGCGTCGGTGCGTGTTACAAAGGACTGAAAAAGTTTATAATCGAATATCAAAGTAGAACTTTTTTCTTGAGAAGGAAATTACTCTGGTTTTATTAATTTTGAGTTTCATGAAGTTAGCAGTACACCAACCTTGTAATGAGTCAATGTCAGTTTGAATTCATTGCAGTCGTTAGGAGATTCTGTGGCACGAAAGATTTTGATATTATCAGCGAACAGGAGTCTAGAATGATTAATTACACTGAATATGTAGTCAATTAATAAACTGCCCCTTAAGTTGTCAGCTACTAAAGTATCTCGTCTACGACGCACATCTTCTACAAGCTATTTACAGCTGTTGTTTCCGATTGTTGACGGCAATATATACTGACGTAACAATTATTGTTTACTCCAAAAAGTAATGGAGTGCATTTCAGTTTATTCCGGAAATTATACAGTACACAGATTATTAATACAAATAAAACGAATTCTTTACAACTCGCAAAAATCTTTAACAAAGTTTATGGATCAAGAAATCTAAAGCGGTAGTTCAATTTTGCACGACACAGGCCCCATTTATTAACCATTTGATGCCGAAGATCATCTAAATATCATTGGAAAAATTCAGTCCGCACCGCATAAAAAACACTACACTTCACCCTTACAAAGATCAACCGGTTAAGGCATTTGAAGGAAATTATCGCTCTTTACCCTGAGAATCAAACGAACTCGACAATTTCGTAATGAAAACTTATTGATTGTTAAAGCATGCAGGTGGTACATATACTTACTACCAGGCTTTTAAGGGTTTAAACTGTTTCACCAAGAATTTCCGCTACTAACATGTCTTGTTGTGGTAGAAATTCGAATCCCACATTGTTTAATGGAATTCTTTTATTATAAATGATGCCGTAAACAAACAGAAGTCGATGTAATATTACTTGAAATTGTGTTAGAAATAGGACAAGCGTAATTCTCTTACAAGAGTTAATAAATGTAAATGTGATGAGCAATAATAATAATAATAAAAAGTAGGAATCCCTTACCCCAAACTTTGCTCAAGAGGAGGAAGAGACCTTGATGTCCACCGGCAAATAGAATGGAGAACAGACTCACGAATTTCTTAGTACAGTAAAACCCCTCAAGATGGACACTCCTTTATATTGGACACTTTTAATTGGAACTGGCGAATATCCTATAATTTTACATGTCCACAATACCCTATATCTAGACACCCCTTTTGTTGTAAGTTGGACAGGTTCTTGCACTTAACTTCAATGCTTTTTGGGGAAACTTTTTCAGTTACATATTTTGTTATTTTGAATTTCTGACTGATGATTCTGGAGGATTATCTTATGGACACTGAACCCATCATTGGAATGCATTGCAAGTGTTTAACTATTCTTTTGCTGAACCCTTAACTGGACTACAGTAATGCAGAAGACAGTTTTAACTCCGTCAGTACTGTGCTTGCATTTGAGTTCAGACTGTGTTAACAGAAATGGAATTTTTCTTTTTGCGATGGGGAAGCGAAAATTGGTGGAATAAACTTTAGAAAATGTTATTGAGGCTGGGGTGTAATGTGCAATGCATGGGAGTGGGCTTCAAAAGATTATTATTAATACTATTGTCATTAATTATTAATTCAAGTATGCCTACAGTAC